AGAACTCCTGGTGACGGTAATGGATGATGCAAGTGTTTACTGTGAATGACCCTGAGATGTCAATTGATGTAACCTAAATGCATAAAAACAAAAGACACATGAGTGAAAATGATGAGTCACACATTAATGAAGCTTTCACCAGATAATGTAACTGTCAAGCATCTTCCTGACCTGCAGGGCTGTCTTCAGAGTGTTCACACAAAGGATTCTTTGCCGGCTCTGAGAGAGGAGAAGTCCATCTGCCAATTAAAAAAAAAAAAAGGAAAAGGACATGTTATTCATAGCTTTTTCCTGCATCCAACTCTGTCTGTGTTACGTCTGGTGCCCAGCTGTCCACAAACCCTCTAGAAAGAGCTCCAGGCTACTCTGGGGAAAGCTCAGCTCAGGAGTGAAGCTTTTAAGAGGAAGCTGCTCATCGTCACATCCATAGGAAACCTTTAGAGACTTCAGAGTCCAGTTCAGGTGTCTGTGCAGATGGGAAAAAGTACCATAAAATGCAGAATATGTAATTTCATAGGGAATCTAAATGTACAGAATAATAACTGCAGGCAGTGGTTGGTAAAAGACTGACTCACCTTTTCTGGCTGTGCATGGACAGGGTTACATTTGTGTTATCAAATTCCAAATTGACAGTGTGAGGAATTAGCTGATGAACACGCTCCACAGCCTCAGTTTGGATGAACTCGATAGTTTCCATCTCTAAAAGGGAAAAGTATTATAATACAATTAAATTGCATGATTACATATTATGTAGTATAATTAAAACTCTTGTATCTTCCTTAGTCATAATATCAGAAAAAGAAATCTGTTTAATAGTTAAAAACAAGTTCCAATACATTCATCAAAAATTTTTTGCGGGATATTTAACAATGTGTATATGATTTAGGCTTCACTAGAGTAAATTTATTGAACTCAATGTACTGGCTGTCTGAAAAGTCAGAAATAATGCGGGTTTTGATTGGCTCAATTGTGCCTATAAGCATAAAGTATCCAGGGAATTGTGGTCAAAAGTTACGATAAATTGTGCTTCTCATAATCCAAAAATATTAACATGGAAATACCAGAATGAGCTTATGTGTCATCTCCTCCTTTACCATTGTGACTGTTGATGTGTATTTATATGAACACCACTGCAAAACTTAACCATGTCTGTGCTAATGGTAACAGCAGCATGCGTCACTAAAGATATTTAAAGAAAAAATTAATAAAACTATCAAAACACACTTACATTTTGTATTATTTCAAATGATTTCACTGACTTTTTCTCACTTTTTAAATAATTGTGTAATTTCTGCTTTATTTGACTTGGCAGGATAAAGTTAATCTATTTATCATTAAATATGTAGACATTTCACGCACCTACAAAGGTCAAACAAACGTGTATGATATGACCTTGTCCTCAATTTCTTACTGGTTAACTAAACAGCTCAATGTCACAGGTTGTTTAGAATAAAGCAAAAACCAAAAAAACAACTATTAGTGCCCTTTAAGCATATCAAATGAGAGAGGATTGTAATTAACCTGTAATATATACTTGCTCACCAGATGCATCGTGAACATTCCTTGAGGGAGATGGGGGAGGCAGGAGTTGGCTGAGGAACAGTCCCTCATGCAGCTCTGCGATGAGTGTCCTCACCTTTAGAGACAGGCAACCTGGCTTCATGTCTGGTAGACTCACATCTCCAGACAGCAGCAGGCTCAAGGCCACTTCAGCCAAACATATGTCCTACAGTAGAGAACACGTCAGTCAAACATGTTCGACCAGAAATTTGTATTCCCATGAAAATGACAGAGCTCACCAACTGACTGCTTTTAAGCACTTTACTGCTTAGCTGCCCGACTGAGAAGTCCCACGCTAACCTGCAAGAAACATTAGTTTAAAATGAATGTGTAGCATCATCCCTGCTCTGACAATTCTTTCAAAATGAAATGAATGTGGTCCACAGAGACAACAAACAGAAAAAGATGTAGTTACCGTTTACTCTGGTGGTCAAGTAACAAAGTGATGCCTGTTAAAGTCATGTGCCACAGAGACTCCGACAGTGCGAGGTTCAGCACCATCACATTGATGGAGCTGATGTGGAACGACAGCAGCTGAGAACACAAAACAGTAAATGAGATGTCGTCTACAAATCAGTTTAGCAAAACATAGTCACAGTCACGCTCCATACTTGTGACAGAAAGCGTAGCGTTGTAGGGCTGACTGAAATCCTCCCTGACTTTTTTCCATGGCTCTTCTTTACCAGAGGGCCCAGTGGTGCTTGCAAGTCAAACCTGACTCTGGTTTCACCAACACATAATGCCAGGTATCTCCTAAAAACGCACACAGTTAAACATGTAAAAATAAGAATTAAAATCTCAAATAAGTAATGAGAAAATAATTTCATCATAAAGAGTGCAACTTACGGCAAATCCTGGTTTAGAAGTTTACTTGAAATCCATATTCGGTCAATTTCCTGCCATAAAAAGAATCACTGTTGTCACTCACCAAGTCTTATAAAAATGGCGCTTGATATATTATGGGAAAGTGCACAAACATGTACCCTGATGTGGGATCAGATGAACCGTATGAGCTGAGCTCAGGACATAAATGTCATGTAAACACAGTGTCTTACCAGAGTATGCTGGGGGTGAAACTGGATACTAACTCCTTGAACAGAAAACAGCCTGATTGATTTGATCTTTAGCTCTGCGTTGAGTGCAGTCTGGAAGAATCGCACAGCCAGCGTGCATATGAGCCACCTAACAACACCAAGACAAACAGACATTCACTTCAATTCCAAGACCTTAAAAACTATAAAGAAAATAAACAGTTCCCACAATAAGCAGCACTTTGGCGACTGCAGAGAGAAAAAACTCCCTCATTAACTAGTAGAACCAGACTTAATGTGGGCGGCCATCTGTCTCAACGGGTTGGGGTGAAAAGAGAAAAATGGGGAGGAGAGGAGAGGTGGGTGGAAAAGGTGATAGAGAAGAGAGAGAGAGACCAGGAACAGTTGTGTACCATCAGGTTTCAGCTCTGACAGATATAGATACTGTTATAATGAAAACAATACAAGTGATAATGGATGTAAAGATGTTATTTATAATATTAATATGATTTAATAATAGTATCTTATAATAAACGTATAGAGCCAAATGGGTAAATCCTTGTTAGACTAAAGTAAATCAATGCTCTGAGTCTCATCGACAATCACAGATTCACTGTCGAGACTTCACAGCACACAGCAGTCTCACCTGAAGATGACACATAGCAGCACAATCCCAATCAGCAGGATTAGAAGGAAGGAGATCAGCAAGAGAGACATCGTGTCCCAGGTTGTTCACACCCAAATCCCGGACATGGGTCTGGCTGCTGCTCCCTCAGCTGCTGTCAAAAGACGAAGAGATGCAACTACTTCAGTTTCACACGCTGCAGCTGCAGCAGCAACTTCTGACTTCTGACTCTGTGTGTGTGTGTGTGTGTCAACAAGTCATACCTGACAGAGGCAACACCTGCAATGCAAACTCACGAACGCTGTGTTGTTCTGCTAACGAGCACAGCTAGCCTCGCGGTGCTAACGTTGTTAATGAATTACAGTGTACTTACAAACAACACGTAGCTAAACTTTATCCCCCACACAGCGCCTCGAACTGAACCTAAACTAACCTCTTAATTAACTAACCCATAACCCTGCGACTGGTTGAAAACAGCTGGTGACGTTAACTCAAACTAACCACGTACGAAATAGTTAAAGACATTTACCGCCGCGTCGCACACACACATACACAAAACAGTGCTAGCATAGTAGCATGCTAGCGCTACAGCTAATTTAGCGTTGTTATTTTGACAACTTGGAACGTGCAGAGAGATGAGAGTTAACCGCACTTACCCCGACACATTCAGGGTTGTGTGGGTTCTCTACACGGCAGCATAGTGACCGAGCTGAGGGCACATCCAGCTGTTAGCTTCGTGCTGCTCCCAGATACAGGAAACACGACGTGGTCCACGACTGGAGTGACAGAGGAGCTGGATCATCACCGCCTACAACTCACATCCATTTCTAACTGTGCATTCAAACACACACACACACACACAGCAGAGCAAACTCTCCCACTGTTCATAAAACACAGAAGAAAATACAAATCAATCGATCAATCATATTTTATTTTTACAGCCCATATTCACAACATCCTCTATTCTTAACCATCAACAAGAGTAAGGAAAAAGTACCAAAACAACTCTATCGACAGGGAAAATAAACTGTAGAGAGAACACTGCAGTCAAGTGAGCAGACGTTCATCTTTTCCTGATTTCAAGTGCGCCCGTATTACAGAATGTATAGCAAATGCATGTGTTCCATGATACGGAGCGAGCAAACCTATTACGCCACTGTAAAATCCCTTTGATCCATAATTTCTGACGAGGGTTTACACACTTGATCTCAGGACCATCCTGACTGTTCACTCACTCAGTATCGAGCATATTTACTGTATCATTTTGGAGAAATTCAGCCTCAAAGTTCATTATTTTGAAAAAGGCATTATGCGCAATATTTACTCTACTGTAAAATCTCTTTGATCCATAATTTCTAACAAAGGCTGATACAGTTGTCCTCTGTATCAGCCTTTATCAGTTGTTGAATTTCTCAAAAATGATACAGTAAATATGCTTGATACTGAGTGAGTGAACAGTCAGGATGGTCCTGAGATCAAGTGTACAAACCTTTGTCAGAAATTATGGATCAAAGGGATTTTACAGTAGAGTAAATATTGCACAGAAAGTTCCTTTTTCAACTCAAAAAATGAACTTTGAGGCTGAATTTCTCCAAAATGATACAGTAAATATGCTCGATACTGAGTGAGTGAATAGTCAGGATGGTCCTGAGATCAAGTGTGTCAACCTTCGTCAGAAATTATGGATCAAAGGGATTTTACAGTGGCGTAATAGGTTTGCTCGCTCCGTATCATGGACTACCTGCATTTGCCATACATTCTGTAATACGGGCGCACTTGAAATCAGGAAAAGACGAACGTCTGCTCGCTTGACCACGAAAAGACGAACGTCTGCTCACTTGACTGCAGAGAGAACCACATGTGAGGGATCCCTCTCCCAGGAGAGACACATGTGCAACTGATGCCACACATCAACACAATAACAGTATTTTCAACAGTGATTAGAAGAAACAGTTTGTAACATGATGGAGAAATGTGTCAATGTTTCAAGTGTTTGTACATAAGAAAATGTCTGATAGAGATGAAGGAAGCAGCGATGACAAATGTTCAGTGATGAAGAATATATGAGTCATCAATCGAAGACCATGATCAGCCACCACCACAATCCGCAATCCTCCATCAAAACATTTTGAGATGGTTTATTTCCAACAGATGAGACATTATTTGATTTTACATAGATTCAATGTAACTCAACCACATGACTAAACCATTGCAGCTTCACGATACTGAATGAATGAGTGTATATAGCCAGTTAACTCAGAGAATAATGTAGTGTTCACACACAACTGCCCCAGACCTCAAAAAAATTCCTGCTACACTGCATGTAAGTGTGTTTTGGTCATTTGATTAGCTGCAAATACACGGAAAAGGTACAATGACAACAGTAAGGACTGTGTTACGGCCCTGTAAAAACAAATACACATACACAGTTACCATTTTAGTTAAATTATTTTTAATCTACTAGAGTGTCAGAGAATACTACTCCAGCTAACAGGAGTACTGAGTGGTGGTGCAGAGGGCAACTAATAATCAATTTAGTTACATAAGTTCCATTAAATAAGTGCTTTAGCAACTCTCTGCATTATGGATAGCAACACCAATTATTAGAAAAAAGTCCATCAAACCGAAATGTTGTCTTCGTGGTATTCTTTAACAGGAAAAAAAAATCGCACACTGCCAGCCTCTGGATTCTTAAGTTGACATGACAAGAAGTTACAAGCTACAAGAGCCTTGTGCAGCATCTTTTCATCGTATGAACTGGTGAGACATTTGACGATGCACCGTGTCGTTTATCTCACGCTGCAGCTTTCTGTCTGTTGTGCTTGGCAAACCACTCATCACTTTTATCTTCAGCCATCGCCTGAAAACAAGATAAAACGCAGACATTGAATGTTGTGTTGCATATTAAATCTAGAAAGTGAAACATTTGAGAAACGCAAACCTTGTCGAGGAGGTCACTTCCTTTGGGGTCCACCGTGGAAAGTTGCCTGAATGCCTCATCTCCCACAAAGCAAATCTCATGACTGTCCTAAAAGAGATATTTTGCAGTGAACTGTTTAACTGAGACCTTCACATGATGACAGCAGCATGTTTGAGGTGATGCACTTACTGGATCAGCCAAGATCACCACTTCTACTGTGGCTTTTCCCGGAGTGTCCAGGCTGACAAGTGGAGTGAGAATTTTCTGATTTTCTTTTTTCATCAAGGCTTCAATGTCAGGCAGCTGATGAATGTAAAAAATGTGTATTATATTTTTGAAATTATAACAATGAATGAATTGACAAACACAAGAATTTATTAATGTAGCAATATTTTACTTGCTCCCGTGGGCATGAAAATGCTATCCTCCCAAACGCTGTTCCATGATCTACCGTTCCACTGATATCACGAAGCTCTAGTTTGCACTGCACAAAAACAGGCATGCATAAAATTAGCACTTGCACTTTTAAATACATTGTCAACACAAAATATGAACCACAAAATACAAACCATTACAGTGTATTCACTGTTTCTCTAGTTTTTCTTCAAGAAATGTTGATACATGACTCACTTGTGTGTCTGTGAATCCCATGAGCACCGTTTTCTTTTCCTCATTCTTGTCCATCACTTTCATTCCTAAGAGCGAGGTCCAGTAGTGTGTTGACCTCTGGAGGTCTGATACTCCGAGACTCACCTTCAGCACAGGGTCTAGGAACAAATTATCAAAGTGCACTGGTCATGTGATCAACCACAGGGATAAGATTGTTATAAAATGCTTAAAAAGCCTCAATGACCAGACTAAAAAAAGTTTCTGCGTTCTCCTCCATACAAAATAAGGTATGCAAGGAAATGACATTGAGAATTAGGCTTATAATAACTCCTTGTTTACACTGTAAAACACTTTGCAGCTGGGTTTTGAAAGGTTTTCTATTACTATTGTTATTATTACCATTTTATATTATTATTCTATATTACAATGATGACGCCATTACATGCCAAAATAAGAGACAGGCCTGTGACACTCACCATTAGGAGGCTGCTCTTTGTCCAGCAGGTAGAAGTGATACCCTCCTGGAGCCTTGGTCAGATACAGAGCCTCTCCCACCTCCGTGAGAGGCCACCCCAGACGTTGGGCGTTGCTGACAGCCTGGCTCGACTGCACAGTGAGGCCCTGAAGAAATCAGATGGATGACAATGAAGATGAATGTTTTTCAAGGCTTGTGCGACCTGTATATTCTGTGCAGTGTCTTGATGAACTCTGACCCACCAGGAAGTCATTGCCAAGCTGATACTCTCCCACCCCATAGTTGTATGTCAGTTCAGCTACAAAATGGTCATCCTCTGGACCAAAGCCAACCATTGTCTTGCTCCACTTCCCATCGTAGGGCCTGTGTGGATATAAGATGAGAGCAGGCTCTGTATTAAGAAATCCAGAGGCTCTGCATAGTGTACTCAGTACAAAGTTAGTTTAAGTTGCTTCATATCCACCCATTGCAAGTTGCTTTGCAGCCTTCCTCAAACTCCTCATGGCGTAACACCTACAGCAGATTAAAACACACACATTCATGACATCAGTTGCAACCAAAGAGGAATAAGCAGCTGCTTTGTTTTGCAACAGTTCCAAAGTTCATCACTGGCTCCAGTCGCCAGAGAAAAGCACCTTCATGCCCAGAACATCTCGGTAAAACGTGGCTGTTTTGGTCCTGTCGCCAACTTTGAAGACAAAATGCAGCGCTCGTCTTAAAGCCATGGTTCTTATTTTAAAATGTGTCAATGTCTTAAAATATCTGAGCTGCTGATCGATCCTGTGCAGCGCGCGATTAAGCTTCCTGGATGATCGAGTTCTCTGTCGTCGATTGGTTAAAGGTAAAATACCAATAAACAAAGTTTAGCAATTTCTAACTTCAAACATAAATCTTGTATATTATATCATAATACTATACATTATCAATTAAAGCTATGTTATCCTGCCAAGAAAAAGCACAACGACATAGCACAAAATTTAAAAGAGTAACATAACCAAGTTTACCACCCCTGACCATTCAGGATAATGGTATCATCCAAGTCATCATATTGCATCCTCTCGCGAGACTGCATGTTGGAGCGACTGTAGCGTAAAGTGAAGTAAATAAGAGGAGACGACATTAAATGGAGGCGCAGTGAACTCTAGTTTGTTATATTTTATTTTTCTACAATCTCCAATAAGCTGGATTAATCGTAGATACGTAAAATATAATATCGACAACTCCGCAGCAGGTGGCGCTAAGTATGGGAAAACGGTAGTTGGTCAAATTATATTGGTTAGTATTAAAACTTGAACAATAACTTCTGATAACTTTCTTTGCTGCTTAATGTCTTATATATATAGAACTATATATATACATATGTAACTATATATATCTAAGACAGGAATATGGAGCTCCTTGACATGACCGTGTGTTGACAATTTCCAGCGTCCCTCTTGTACTTGTACTTGAATGTACTTGTACTTGAATGTACTTGTACTTGAATGTACTTGTACTTATCTTTGTGTACAGTATATCAGTGCCTTGGACTATAATGTTGTAGACCCCTAACAATTTACTACCCCTTACCTGTCTATAATAATTCGCGAACAATTATGGAAAATTAAGAAAAATAGAGGACAATGTTCAGGGTGTTTAGAATAAGCCGACAGAGTACTAGGGGGGAGTTGATACTTGTTATATTTTTGAACAAATAATATTAAAAAAAAAATTCAAATATAACAAACAAAATGCGCTGAGATTAATATACAGTACAATAAATAAGGGATAGGTGCAGCAGTATGGATACACGAAAGGAAGAGACAACATTTTAAAGGGATTTTTTAACACACAATAAATAACCAAATACATGAATGAATTCAAGTTAAAAAGACAAGATCTGGTTTTCCATGAGTTTCAGGAAAACATATAGAAATTCAAAATGAAACACACTTGATATAGGTTTCGCTCTCATGTGATTGAATTTGTTAATGAAACAAAAACTTATTTATAATTTTAAACGACTGGACAGAACAGATTTTAGATGAAGATATAACGAGAACCTGTAGATGGCAGTAATGAGTCACCGTGGACGCCGGCTGCTGTAAACTCTTAAAGGAGAAGAAGAAAGAGAAATGGCAGCCTACATGAGGAGCGTGATGCTTCTCGTCTCCAGAGAACAAACCGCTTTTCTATCCAGAGGCTGCGGTGTTGTTGTGACAGCTCAACGATATGTCCGGGGGCTGAGGAGGAAACCGGTCCGAGTGTTGTTCCCCGACACGGAGGAGGATCCAGGGCCGAAGACGAGGCCACAGCCCCGGTCTGAAGATCAGCAGGAGAGGAGGGAGAAGAAGAAGAAGAAGGAGGAGGAGGTGAAGGTCGCAGCAGCAGAACATCATGAGGACAGAGGCTCCGTCAGAAACAGGAGGAATGAACCTCCAGCTCATGTGTCTGTCAGGGACCAGGTCGATGACGTGAGCTTTGAGAGAGCTTCTCCTGGAGACAAGAGGCTGGCGTAAGTGTGAGATCTGCACAGCTCCGATCACAACACTGAGCATCACAGGGAATTCACCTCAGATCAGGTGGGAGACAGGAGACAAGAGCAACAGCTGCAGGGAGGAAGGAACTGGGGCCTTGTTGACACTTTATATCCCACATCAGCTGATCACTATAACAATTATGATAGTGATAAGATAAGTTTATATTTTTAAAAAGTGCCAAAAAGAAATCACAGTTAGCACCTTCTCAAATGTCAAGATCACCTATTAAATTAACTTGAGCTCCAGGAAATAATGACGGACAAAGTATTCACTGAACAATAAAAAATTCTTAGAGATGACAGCTCTTCTGGTAATGAAAATAAGTGTTGCTTGTTGCCTTACATTTCTCCTATGATGAAATAATATGACATTTACTAATAATGTCTTCTGTGTGTAATGAACTCACAACAAAGAAAAACTCAAGCTTGTTGGTTAAAAAAAAGAAAAGTTTATAATAAGAGTTAGATATAAGGTGAAACAAGAACCAGGCTCCACAATGGATGACAGACCTGTTCAATGTCTAAAAGAATATTGACTTAAGGAGGCTGTCTGGTTAGTGAACCAATAATTGTATGAATATGATAACATAAAACATGTGATTTAGTTATGATTTATTGTTCTAGATTAAAATACCCAGTAAGAGAGCAAACCTACTACAGCATGAAAACACTGCTGTCACATTGAATATTTTTAGATAATCACTGCCTAGTGCCCGTCTGTTACTCATATGGATTACATCTTCTGGTACATTTTGCTCAAGTACATCTTTATTTCCACTGAAAGGAAGTTTTGAGTTTAACTTGGAGGTTTTAGTTTTGGTAATACGACTTTCTCTTAGGTAAATTATCTCAATACTGCGAAATCTCAGTAAGAAGTTTTAAGCAAATTTTTTTTTTCAGTTGACATTCGTAATTAGTGTGTGTTGTTATAGTTTTTCCATGATGTACAATATTTCCAAGGTAGTAATTATATTAGTTCAGTCCATTTCACTACGCTCTCTCCTTGTCTGTTTTGCAGGAGGTTAGTGAGTGTTGCTCGATCCAGGACGTTTCGAGAGCACCAGGGTAAGATCCTCCTGGAGGGCAGGCGTCTGATCTGCGACGCCCTGGATGCTGGTGCCAACCCACAGATGGTGTTCTTCAGTACAGTGGATCGGCTTCGAGAGCTGCCCCTAGATAAGCTGAGGAGGGCCACGCTTGTAAAAGTCAAGTTCGAGGACATTAAAATCTGGTCCGACCTTGTGGCTCCCCAGGGGGTGATCGGTATGAGTCCCATATTTTGTGTTGGTTTATTATGACGCTCAGATCATTTGTTGCTGATGATGACAGGTTTTTCTCCCACTGCAGCCATATTTTCTCGTCCGGACCCATCGCGACTAAACTTCACTAGTACAGGTCATTCAGTGCCGCTGTCCCTGATATGTGATAATGTCCGAGACCCAGGCAACCTTGGGACTATGCTGCGATGTGCTGCTGCTGCTGGATGCCATAATGTCCTGCTCACGAAGGGTAAGAGAGGATATTCTCAGTGCACCCCACCCATAGAACATACCAGCGCTTCTTTTCATGTTTATTTACTTTTCCACCAACAGGTTGTGTTGATGCTTGGGAGCCTAAAGTTTTGCGTGCGGCGATGGGCGCACATTTCCGACTTCCCATATATCCCAATCTAAGCTGGGATGCCATTGAAAATCATCTCCCGAAACCTGTGACTGTCCAAGTGGCCGACAGCGGCTGTGGCCCTGACAGAAGTAGAGAAACAGAAGACTTGCAATCTAACGTCTCCCACAAACCTTCAAAAGCAGGAGACTACGGCTGGGTCAGCACAAGGCGGAGTCACAGTGACATGCGGTTTGAGGAATATGACTCGGACTCTGACGACGAGGGACTTTCACTCCCCAGAGTGGACGCCAAGCTGTACCATGAGAGCTGGGCTCAGAGTCCCACTGCTCTTGTGATAGGCGGTGAGACAAATGGTCTGAGTCTCGAAGCGGTGGAGTTGGCTGAGAAAACTGGAGGTCAGAGGATCTTTATTCCTGTTGTTCCTGATGTGGACAGCTTGAATTCAGCCATGGCCGCCAGTATCCTTTTGTTTGAAGGCAGGAAGCAGCTGTTGAAACTCATGCAATCTGGAAGAAAATGGAAATCTAAAGCTGAGGGTCAGTTATCATGAAGTTCCCTGTAAATGTTGTTGTGTGTCCATACAACGTACACCCTGCTCTGCTCATAATAAAACACTGAATTGCAATCATGGATTTCATTTGGAATTGACATCAAGTTATAAAATAACTGAATAATTGACATCCGATTGAGCATGAAAATGAAAGATGAACAGATTCTCAGGTGAAATAAAAAAAAGGCCAAGACTTTTTGGCGGCTGTGGCTCAGGGGGAGAACGGTTTGTCCCCTGGTTGTAACCCCTGTCTCCTCCAGTCTGCTATTCAAAGTGTCCTTGGGGTTTAATATGTGCTCGAGTGGGTGAATGTGACTTGTACTGTAAAGTTGATAAGACTGCTAAAGCGCCGAACAAACAAAGTCCATTTACTCACCGTGTTGGTCTTTGCAGCCACAGCATCAAATATGCAGAACTCATGGCACTTGTATACAAAAAGTGAGATAAAAAGTTTCCATCTCACCTGGAGTTTGCACATGAACAGAATGAGTCCATCTACATGCTGTCTGTGATAACAAATGCAATATCTGCATCTTTGAGGCCATGAATATTATTTAAACACTTCTGACAAATGAGCTGAATCGTTGCATCATCTGTATTTTTACATATCCAAGAGCTAACTTTATTGATAGGATTTAACAGGAACAGAACTTGGTGCTTGGCAGTGAATTTTTAATGGGTGTGGTTGTGACTGAAGTAACAGAAGAGAGGGATTTCTACATTCAACCCTTTTCAAAATGCCATTTTGTGCCTCCAGGAAAACGCTTTTCATCACAGGATCTTCACAGAAAATCCTCATGACTTTGAGATGAGAACCACCATTTACAACTGGCTAGAGATGACTTTCACTCACATCATAACACACACACACAGGACACAGGGGTTTTTATAACATCAGTCAATGTTCTGTTACAAGCAACGTGATCTTTATGTGCACCTGTCAGACTTTGTTTAGAATATGGCCATGAGGGCTTACGGCTACATCCAACTGAGGTTTAGCACATTTGCACTAAGTATACATATGAATCACAACTGTAAAAATGCATTTTTCTTTCTCAACTTCATTCAAAAACCAAAAGTAACAAGGGTCTTGCAGACATAACAAAAAGGAAGCAAAGAATCAGCTGAAGAATAGGTCCATTGAGTAATTCTCTGTTTTTGTCTAGAAATGCTACAGTGTGAAAAAAAAAAATACAAATACTTTTCTTGAGGCCAAAAGAACAAAAACAACAGAATCTCCATATATATATATTACTGTAGGGACTATAGTCAATGCAAGGCACCACAGGAGAAAGAGAGGACTCCATGAAAAGAGGGAACATGTCTAAAAAAAATGTTAAAATGTCAGTAAAAAGTGAGACATCTCTCTAAGAGTCTGACAGAGTCAGGAGGGGAGGTGAGAGAGACAGTGGGAGGCTGGGGGGGTGAGGGGGCGTAGCAACAGGTCAGGGTTCAATGATGGAGTGAGTCCCAATATAGTGTGTCCCATTTATATTCAGACGTCCTCTTCAGATGGGCTCTGGCTTAAGCTTCTCAGCCAGGAAGTCGTTGACAAATTGCTCCACCACGGCTGGCGTGATCTCCTCGACGTCGCGGACGTACTTGGCGCGGGCCGACATGTCCAGGATGGTGAGCAGAGGTGCTGCCTCAGGGAGGTTAGTGTAGTCTCGCAGGGAGTCACTCATGTCATCCTGTGGTGACAGAGGAAAAAAATAATACAGGGATTAGCGTGAGATATTTGAATATTTGTATCGCTCATAAATCCCAATTTGTTTCATTGGGCTTATCAAGGTGTGACATCCCCCGTCTTTAATCCTCAACAATGGAAAAACTACCATAGTTCTTAACGAGGAAAAACGGGTAGAAACCGAGTGAGGGATCCCTCTCAACAAAATAACAATATTTATTACATTCATGAGAAAAGACAGTGTCTTATATAAATGTAGAGGCATATCATTGTGTTATGTTTTGTACAAAAGAAAATGTCAGAGAGATGGAAGGAGCAACACTCAACAGTTTGAAGTGCCTGTGAGTTAGCGCATTTATTTCCCCCTTTATTTGACAGAGACAGGAGACAGTTTGAGAGACTCGACCCAGGGACCTGGTATGTGATACCCTGACCTTTCTGGTTTTTCTTTTATCAAATCATTAGTAGTTTCTTTAAAATGCAACATTATAGCTGCAAGTGTAGCTGTGTCATATAGTATCTGTAAATGTCACTGAAAAAGATGCAGCAGGTTTATGAGCGACAGGGTTCGGTTCCTGACGTGGGGAAACTTTTATATATGTTGGAACGTTTGTTTTATAATCCATGTGTGCTCACATGGGATTCAAACAGACAGACCCTGGATGTACTAAAAGAGAAGAAGCTCTAAAGGACACATTTCTCTGGTGCTCATCAGCTCAGACTTGCTTTTGGTGCAAAAAAATTAGGACGACAACGAGAACATGAAACTCTCCTCTCTGATGTCTTCCTGAAAGCAGCCTTCCCACAGAGAGCGGTGCGTAGTCACACATCCTGCTGTGTGGAAAGACAGTAAGGAAGCAGGTGGTGGGTCTAACAGCATCCCTCCCTTTTCAAAAGATTTAAGTCTTATCACGGAGTATTTGGTTTGCACATGCGGGCAGGAGATGTGATGGAATATGTTAAAAATAGATTATTGCGAGTGAAAGAAATCCCCAAACTCAGCGTGAACCCAACCAACACCAAATCAAATAAAAATAATCTAAAACCCCATTCAGAATCCTTTTCATTAAGACACTTGGAACAACATTATAGCAGATTAAAATTATTACTATCAAAACTATGTACAGTCATAACAATCATGAATACCAAATATTAAGTGAAAAAACCAGGATATACTGTATATAGATACAAATAAAATTGAAAAACAAATTAATACCTATACATTACAACATATCGCTCGCAAAAAACACAATGTGAAAAAATGTTGTCTAGAGGATTACAGCCCCTGTATCCAGAGGTAACAGGAATGAATCACTTGCAGGGACAGAGGCAGAAACTTTAAAACAAGCTTCAAAGAATCATTAATTATTGAGAGTGAATAAGAAATTGCAACGTTTCATGATTCAGCCATGAGAGCTTCTGGTATCCACATCCCCGCCTTGAGACTGATCCATTATTTCTGTCACATATCTTCTCTCAGTTGAACGGATCTCATGTGTTTGTGTTTTGTCAGGCCACACAGTTCGCTGATTAAACGCACACAGCTACTTTCGTTTTAAGACATTTGCTGTTCCTCATGACAGCGTGACCTGATTTCCCCTCAGCTTAGCTCCCTGGCTCAGAGCGAGACTCGCAGAGACTGAAGATCATTTTCATATGGGAGAGATTATGTCGAGGAGGCAGAACTAACAAAAAAGGGCCAGAGGGTGGCACTGCAACAAAGAGCTGGACTCTCTCACAGAGGCGGTGACTCTGATGTTAATGCAGTTAGTTACTGATTCATGTGAGTTTTGTCAAAACAAAGTCAGAGACGCAGCGACTTGGGATGGATTTCCAGCTACACTGAACACACAAGCGCTTCCTCCTCTCAGGCCTCTTTGTCCTGTCTTTGCTGTTTTATCACAAAATCTGCAGCTTTTCTTGCTAAACGAATCAAACCCCCACAATCAGCTCTTCATCGCACATCTTGGATGATGCTGTTCCTGCTACCTAAAAAGGACACGTATGCCAAGATGAAGTACGTGACCTCTACTTTGCAAAATTGCAAACAGATGGAACTGATGAGTTGCTGTGTGGTATTTTCTCTCATAGGCGGCTGACTTCCTCTGAACTGTGCCTATTTTATTATGCTGCAAATCACCATACATTGATCAGTTAATACCCACAGATGTAGGACAATGTTCTTACGAGTAAAATGCTGCTGATAAAAGCCTTCTCTTGCAACCAAACTGAGCGTAGATCACAGATCCTCACAAAGTGCAAAGAAACCACAAAGACAGAAAATTTAACAATCTGTCGCTGTGGCCTTTCCAGCCTCTCCGATGTGAGGAGACGTAATCTCCGCCTCATTCTCCACCGCCGCAGGAAGTCACGCATCTTCTTTTGTGTGACTTCTTGTGTAAACTGCCTCTGCTGAGGTGCAGCCCCTCCGCCCTCCCTCCCATCGCAGCACCGCTCAGAACAAAACAGCCTCTCTGCTGTAAACTGCACTCTCAGCTGAGATAAGGCTCAGCATGTGTTTACCGTGTGGACCCTGCTGGGCCATGTCAGGCTCTCTCTGCTTATTGATGCACTGTGGCATTTCACAGACAGTGATCATCTGATAAGGCCTGCACTGATAATGATAACAAACCTGCCCACCGGCCTCTGATGTTCTTCACAGTTAACGGTTCATCAGTTTGTGCACAGATGTGGGATTTAAACAGATTTGAAGACCTAAAGAACATTTCCTGAAGTGCACAAGGGTTAAAAAAAACTTTCAACCAAAGATAAGAAAAAACTGCAAAAAGCACAAATTCTTCATGTGAGCAGGAAAAACTGCTGAATTCCACATGATCCAACCACTGGAATTCACACACATCACAATGTGTTGAAAAGGAATTAAAAAATACAGATTTTCATTTTAAAGGTTTAAACATAAGGTCAACTCACAGTCATTGAGATGTTTTATGTTTTTTTTCTTTTAGAGGAAATATATTATAATCAAACAATACTAAAAGTCTACATGTGATGTTTGTGGCTCTGCGGGACTCTACTAAGCTTTGAGCTAAAGGCTAACATTAGCATCACCAGACTTACTCCATACTGATGTTAAAGAGGAATGTTCACCACCTTGAGTAAGTATCAATAAAGGTTTCAACTTACAACTAACACATTTCATGCCAATTTATTTCATACGCTCAAATGTGAAGTCTGCCCATCAAAATATCATCTCATGAAGTCGACATCTTCAAATATTCTGCAAATGTTCAACCAATAGTCAAACCCCCCACAAATTATTGAATTACACAAATGTAAGACCAAGAAAAGCAGAAAATGTTCATATTTGAGATTGTGGAATCAAAATTGAATCAACTTATCATTTCAGTTCCAAATGTCCTGAAGTCCTGATGTCAAAAGTCATGAGAAGTCATCCTCTGGACGCTATGAATATTAGCACTACTTGTAATTACATGTATAGAAAAGTAAGAGATATATCAGTGAGGACCAAATGTATTTTCAAAGCAAATACAGAGAATAATAACAGGAAAGAATGAAAAATGTCAACATGTTCAATGTGTTTTGACTTATGTTTGCTTGAGAGGAAGTGCTGGACTGTTCATGCAAACCATTATGATCCAAAGTCAAAGCAACGTTCTGCTCAGGGACTCACACAAAGCTTTGAAGAGCAGAATCACAGCTGCTGCTCGATGTAAGAAATCCGTTAAATTCTTATGAGACAGGAAACACCACCAGAGTTCACTTTGCTTTCGACTGCTACTACACCGCAGGACTCAAAGAACAAAAGATCCTTCATTCTACATTTAAGAATCTGTACTGTACCACTCTGTCCAGTTTTATTTCCAGTAAGGTAAGAAGATCCTGTGTCATTCTGCTCAGCCGGGCGTCCCCCTGAGAGACTGCCAACATACTGCCGTCTCATAGACACAGAAAACCCAGCAGCTGGCCTGGCAAGGAGCGTGCGACTACCAGGGCAAACCCGAGCCAAGGTGCAGGAGTCTGAGCCCAAATCCTTTATCAGGAAGTGATATCTGACCATGAACTCAGTGTGGAAATGAAACCTGGTGATATCATTGCCTGTTGAGCTTGAGCCAGGAACTTATACCTGGGTGACCAGGATGTAAAAATTATCCGGCTTAGCACGTGTGCCATATGGGAAACGAGGCAAACCCATCACAACACAAGTGCAACATTGTGCATTCATGTCAGGTCAAATACATGTTGGCACACAGACGATGAACACAAACACTTTCAAGTTGACTCATCATTCTTGAAACCTTTTTGAAGCTCTTCTCGGTCTGTGTACGAAGTCAATAACATTTTAAGGCTGTGTTGAGGGTGGAGTGGCTTTGGACAGACGCAGGGTCAGACAGTTATTACACGTGCAGCCCCACAGATGAAACCTGAGAAGCCCTTTGGTGTGTGACATGAGAAACCAGCTCTGTCCTCCCACACGGTCACGCACAAAGAGAAATGGAAGGAAGGGAAGTCGGAGGGCAGAGAGCAGGGGACTGAAGAGGGAGCTAATCTCGTAATTACGCCTGACTCTGCTGCTGTGGCTGCTGCCTACTCCACCAGCTCTAGAAAGGTCAGAACAACATGAGATAACAAGAGTTCTGAAAACTTCAGAGTCTGTCCCGCACAGGGAAAACGAGGGAGGAGAAACAGCAGGAGATGAAAGGAGGTTTGGAGCCAGTGAGAGGGAGTAGAGTAAATTCTTCTGGTTAGGAGGGAAACAGATGAATTGTGGGTAATAGATGAGTGTCTCTCTGGCAGGTTTAAGAGGCACAATAAAGGAAAGAAGGAATGACTAAGGAAATTCTGACAGTTGCCAGGGTGCTAATATAAACCTGGGATTTACTAAATGAGTTTAGAGCCTGTGTGATAAATTGGCTGATAAGAGCTTATTACAGATTAAGTATATTATATCAGCATTTTAATGTACATTTAGGCTGATGAAAAATTGCAATGTAGAAAAGCATAAAATATGTATTTCCATTACATTGTTGGTCCAGAGAAAACGGAGAAGCTAATTCTTCAACAATAAGTGTCCGGCTCAGTAAATATCTTAGTCATTCTTTCTCAATATCCAACTCTGAAATGATGATAATCAATATTCTCATACTGATAAAGGATCATATGACCATGTGTAATATGACCAACTGGTAATGTTTACTGGAAGTAGAAATCCTCATCAGTTTGCACACAAGTTATATCAACACCATGTCGTTGCAGTGTTTACAGTGTGTTATCGTAGAATTTAAATACAAATGAATCACACTAAAATCCTTTGGAAACAGTATTGTGTTTGTCCACTAGAGGACACTAACAAGTTTATTTTCTCCCATGTGACCTTTTTCCAAATGCTGTAATTCTCATCAGAACTGTTTGTTTATGTTACAAGTAAAGGTAAAACTATCTTATGAGCTGATAAATATCTTTACTATTGTTGTCTGTGTACACTGTATGAGATCATTAAAGCACATTACCAAGTACAGTGAAACAAACCCAGTTTCAGATCTGCAAGTGCGAGTGAAATGGTATTTTACTCGGCCTTGAGTGGCCTTGAGTGGCTTATCTCACCTCTCCAGCCACAAAGAACAGAAGCGGCGTCTCCTCCTCCTTGGCTTTGTACTTTGCCATGAGCTTTTCTGCTATTGGTTGAATCAGCTCCTTGGCTGGCTCCAGTTCCCCCTCCTCCTCGGCATCTGAAGGGGAGAGAGAGACACATGGAGGATGTTATAACTATGAAAAGTGGCCACCTGGGAGAGGAAAAATGCACAGATGAGTGAAATGAGAGAGAAGGGAAGTGAGATGACTGGTGGTCAGATGATTGAAGAGATAATGGAAACTGTACAGATGGTCTCCATCTTGTTTTCCAATCTGCTTTGACCTTGAGAGACGCCTGGGTGGTCTCAGATTTTAAAGGGTCATCGCTACGCAACCTCTTTTCTAAGGTGCTGTATTGTCCTGTGTTCTAATGTCCTCACAAGTGCCCTGGATTCACATCTAAACCATTCTTCTGGACTATTCACAAACCCACTGCATTTTGTGTCCTCGCACCTGTATTAGCATATAAATGGATAGAAGTGCTACAATGATTTCACAAAGACCCACGGACCTCTCGACACTGGAAGAGTTTTCCACGGAGTCTGACATTCAACATTCTTCACGTAAATGCCATTTCATTCATGCACAAGCAGCTCCAAGCGTGGCCCCATGTGGAGCTGCGCAGGCTGCGTCATAAAAGCGCCGCCTTCTCACCCACAAACAGGACGAGGCAGGGCCCCTCGTGGAGCTGCACGGCATTGGACTCGCTAAGCTCCAGCACGGGCCGAGGGTGCCAGGGAAAGAGCCGGCACTCCGGGTCGTTCAGCACCTCCACGCGGCCCTGTCGTGTGATCATGTGACCTTCTGCGTCCAACAGAATCAGCGTGGGAATACCTAGAACGGGAGGAGGAAAAAAAGAGGTGAGGATGGTGTGAGAGGAAGACAAAGGGAGGAGGGGAGGATATGGGCAACAGTGCGGGAGGTGGTTGAGGTCATTTCCCTGAATGATGACGCAGACCGATCCCTCTCCCACTGAGATTTTCCTTGTTGTGTGGATGTTTTTCTGACCAGTTGTTGCTTTCCTGGTGTCTAATCTCTCTACAGCACTGTCCACTTGCTGTGCCCACCCTTCTCGTGGGCTCTCATTTTCACATTGATACAGTCTTGAAGCCTTATTAACAGCCGTATGACAGAATCACCATCCAAGAGCACACAGGGTTCATGAGTCACTGTGTTCCTATCTGCGCAAGTCAGCGGAGGTGGGGGCTGTCATGAACTGCAGGGTTTTGCATGTGGGGTGGGTGGGGGTGGGGGGCAGTGTGTACTCGTCCACGGTGCATTCCTCGCATTCTCAGCAGGAGAGGCCGAGAGCCAGCTCTTGCTAACTTCATCCACAGCCCTCTGCACACACACAGAGGCGGGAATCATAAGAAAAGAGCGAGACACACAGGGAGGGGCGGCACTTCTGCAGCGAACAAGACAGTAAACTTGGTAACTGGCCCACATTCTTAAGGCTGCAGGGCGATTGGTGCTGCTGTCCGCCTGCCTGGCACAGAGAGCTGGCAGCCACTGTGTCAGCGTTTCAGGGCGTGACATAACTAAGCCCCTCTCCTCCCAGTTTGAATATCTGAGGCAACATTTATGAGGCGGGTGGTGGCTGTGATACTATACCTTGTATCCCATAGAGTCTGTTGAGTCGTGATCTCCGAGCCTCATCTGAATACGGCACCGCCAACCACGGCATCTCGCTGAAGTACTGCTTAAAGGACTCCTCCGACCTGGAGAGGTTGGAAAATAAAATAAAAAACAGCTACATGACAGATGTTGACCTGGTGATCTCAATTAAAGGTTCAGAGTGTAAGATTTGGGTGAAGGGATCTATTGACAGAAATTAATAATCAGAGTGATATTTTCAATTGTTGTTTTCTTTACCCTAGAATGAGCCATTTTTGTTTAAATACTTCATATTTACATCTGGAGCAGGTCCTCTCTACGGAAGCCACCGTGTTTTTACAGTAGTTCAAACTGGACAAACTTAACACCTTTTGAGTCGTTATGACAACTGAAGGCTACCACAGGTTCTCTCTCATGTTTGGAAGGGGAGGGTGAGCTGAGGGGTGTTCAGCTGCAACATCCAACTTCACCACTAGATGTCACTAAATTCTAAACACTGTACCTTTAACAGTTGAATAGATCAGCATGATTATTTGTGTGCGGGACAAATGTGTGCGTGAGATAAATAGGATACCGTGTTCTGGCCACATTGCATCTCACCTGTCAGCGCTCACAAACACAATCTCAAACTTCTGTCCCAGCTCTTTGACGGCTCGATATGTTTCCACCAAGACTCGGGTCAGGCTGCGGCATGGCGGACACTGACAGAGTATGAGAAGAGGTAAATCGAGAACGTAAGTGGAAGCGAATGAGTGAATGTTACTGTGACATAAATACAACAGGTTGCTTTAACAGCTTCCACAGGTTTGGGTATTTCCCAGATCTCTTCCTCTGTGTCACCAAAGACACACAACTAGTAATTCTCTGGTGTTTGGTATCAAAACAAGCTTCATAAAAACACTAATCTGCTGTAATACAGTAGCTTGAGAACACTTCACGTGTGTGTGTGTGTGTGTGTGTGTTTGTAGAGGCCTCACTATACTATACCCAGGCAGGGGGAGTAGTGGTATGGCTGGCATTAACATGACATCACAGTGCCATGGCAGCAGGAAGGAAAACAGACCAGTCAATCTCATGCTCTTTGTTTTCTCTCCATCAGCATTTTAATGTTTTTCCTGTTTTCAAATGCTGAACATATTGCAATCGACTATTTACACCAGACAAGGTAAATTATTTATGAAGGGAATGTATTTGAAGTAATCTTTTTTACTCTTCACCTGCTAAAAGTTCAACAACTCTGGTAAGAGTGGATGGAATAAAGGTGTCCACTGTGTTGTTAGGACATGACAGCAATTATTCTTTGAATTGGTTGAAGCACAGGTTTATCAAACAATGGAACATTATCAATGGAGGTATTGATATTGCTGTTTTGGCCTCTACCAGCTCCCGAGGGAAACGTCTGGCTCTTCAGCTGCTAAATGCTTCATTATGTTCACCAGCTGGTCTCTAACCTGGTCTGTCTGGGGCCAGACAGGTATAGTGGGGCTTCCCTGCTGTGAAAATGATTCTATAAGAGCAGTGAGCGTGAATGAAAACAGTAAAGACCAGTTTATACTTCTGTGTAGGCCCTGCGTTGAATTCTAGCAGGAGAATAAACCAGTCTTTGTATTATTTGTCCAAAAACTAGCAGCTTTCATTTCTCCTATGTTGTAAATGACCTGCATGTTATTTAGTTTCTCGTTAATAATATCTCATATGCAGTATTAATATAAAAATCAACAATTCTAATTACCTAGATACAAATAATATTTCATCCCCATTCATTGATTACAGCGTGTCAAGCACTTTTATTGATCTTGCACACTCATCACACCGGCACAAAGGGACTGGGTGTGAGAGTAACAAGCACAAAGTCTTCAGTCGATTTTCTGCTTATTAATGGACGTCTCTCTCTGCTGCTCATAGAAGATTAGACTGTAAATTATGTTCCAAACTCATTATAGTGCTAACAGCATGGTGTCACAGCACTGTCTTTTTTGATTGTGTGAAGGTTATTCTAAAAGAAACTTTCTCCTCACAAAGCAAAGTCTCACATTTCAGGTCCGTGGAATATAAGGAGGAAAACTTTAAATGCACACGTGCATAAATGGATGCCAAGACCAGGTGCTGGAATTTCATGTTTGTATAATTACTTATAATGGCAGGCAGATTTACATCGGAGGAAATGTGGCGTAAAAACACTGCAAATAAAATCCAGTAATGGCTTTTGTGACTTGTCCTTTTCAATTTGTGTGGGTCTGGGGTTGGAGCCAGCGTTCAGGCGTCACCACTCTGCAGAGCCGGTCTCCGAGGCTGCGGCTCTGGCAGCTGCCGTGCTGACTGGCCTCGGCAGACTGCATGCATCACTGAGTCATGACCCTCACTGGATATTAGCAGGTCCAAAACAGAAAGAGACAATAGCGATGATGTCAGCAGGGTGCGGTGACTGATGCCAACTTTAAAGAAAGGTCCAGAGGTGTCTGCGAGAGGACGGACTGCAGAGTTAACCGCCGGTAACGTAAACACACAGACACAATGGGGTCGCCTCCGCCCTCCTGCTCCTCTCTCTTATCTGTCTTGACTAACTGCTCTGCCTCTTCCTGCTGCGCTCCGCTGCCACTGCCCTCTATTCTCCCCCACGTCTCTGTGTTGTGACAGGGATACGAGGCCTGGAAAAAGAAAGAGAAATCATTTGGTCTTCTTTGTCTTTGTTCTCCGCACTCACCCAGTGTGCTGAGAAGTACACTCCCACGTAGTGTCCCTCAAGAGAGCTGCTGTCTGTTGTCTGCCTGTTGTTCCTGAGCAGAGGCCCTGCCACCACCTCCGCAAATGGCTTCGGCCCCCAGGGGAACTCCAGGCCTGGCAGAGGGTAGGAAAGCGGAGGGGGCAAAGAAAAGGGGAAGATGGGGAGGAAAGGAAAAAAAAATCAAGAGTCTGCAGTCGTGCTAGCAGGCGTAGCAGCACTGTGAGGCTGGAAAGCTCAGAGCTAAATGCTAACATGCTGGTGTTTAGCTGCATGTTAAACTGCTGTAGTACTGTGACCGACATGTTTAGATATTCCCGTCCCTTGAATATTGCGGCCAGCGTGAATAAAAATCATGTTTCAATTAAACGAAAGAACCAGAGGCACTCTTCGTCATGGCTGCTGTGATCAAAAAGTCATGTGCACTTGTCATGTCTATGCTACTTACAGGTTTTTTTTGTGTGACATCTGCTTTTGCAAACATACACCAGATGCACAATATGATTTTAATAATGACTGAGAGCCATGCCTGTTGAGCACGGCTGGAAGTCTGCCAGAAATACTTCCCCTCCTGCTCTCTTTGACACTTTTCATTCCCTTTTCAAGGTGTCTCCATTGTTGCCGTCAAGCTCTGGAGATGCGCTGGTGAAGCCGAATTGAAAAGGAGGAGTAATCACAAACTCGTACGGGCTTCATTAGGCAGGAAAGACACGTCTGGGCTGCACTGGTGCAGCCTTTTATTGTTGCACTGATTGTAAAAGTGCACTCCATCTTTGCGCTGGAGGCTAGTCAGCCGCCACTCAGGTCGGGCCTTTCATTGAGAGTGAAAGGCAGATGGTCCTGAATCATCCCCCACCCCTCCCAACTTTTACTGCCCCTTTCCTCTCCTGAACATAGCTGCTGATTTATCACGTGACAAACTGCCCCAGTTTGCCTAAAGCAGGTAAACAGAGGGATAAAACAAAAACTATAGCTCTGTTTTTCTTCAAGAGGAGGTGCAGTGGCGTTAGAAAATCCCTGCTCATCAAGTGCCAGTGTCCCACTTCTTTGCTACAGAGGCCAGAGATAAATGTTTTCTTCAGCCACTTCTATTTTGGAGGAACAGTTAATTCATCATGGAAATAACACTGCAGGCTAGGACTGGCTTTCATCTGGCAGACAGTGAAATCTGTCATAATACTCATTCTGCTCCACTGCTGTGCTGCCATAAAGCCTCTATTCTTCCTCCTCACATGACTAATGGTGCTTTTTTTTCAGGATGACCAAACCCAGTATAAAAGAGGCAGCGTTTTAAAATATTAAGACCTTCAGAGCCACAGAGGACGTCCTCGATACAAGAGAGGAATGCAAGCCCACTCTTGTTAATTCTCTGTCTCCGCTTCAAAGTGCAGAAATTATAGGGTTTGCAGATGAGGGAGTGAGACACAGGCACGTTATAATATTCATGCAGCACCATAATTACAGAAGCATCAACACAAACGAGGGGGAAGAGTGTTATTGCAAAAGTTTTGGTTGAATGGTGAGGGATGTGGCAAAGCAATATCTCCACAGCCATTTGATAAACAGAATCAGTATGTGTGTTGTGTGTGCAGGTGTAAACTTATACTCATGTAAGTTTGGTTGACTTTAGCCTCTCAATTTTATTTGGCTTTATGTGACACATTCGAGGTAAACCAGATAGTTTAAGTTGGAATAATTCCACTGTATGATTTTGAACTGTTAATTATCTTTCCATCATCCACAGCACTGTAACATGAGGTGTCTTTCCATCTGCCTATATTCCTGTGCACATTCTAAACGAATAGAGTGGAAAAGTAGAAACAAGGTGTCATGAAAATTTTGATATTTGCAAATAAAACAATGTACATGAAGTTGTGTCTAAAAATTTTGGAGACCAACGCGATTTGCATCATATTGTTTAAGCTTTGACTGATGCTCTTTTAATTAGGTCATCTGGTTAGATCATCCTCTTCTTCTGCAGTGGTTTAACAGCACCTGCATAACTAATTATCTCTACATGCCCGAAATCTTTGCATAACACAAGTTGCTAGAACTGCACACTAATGCACATTTAACAGTTTTCCAGAAAATTCTGTTAACTAACGGATTTCCACAAAATGTGATGGAAGGATGCAGTAATGGTCCGGGAAGAACCTATTCAATTTTGTTAAGCATTTTTTCCACTTACTTTAACATTGCCAGATACTGCATTTTCACCCTTCTACCAGAGAATATTACATGGATCTTGCAATGGGAATGGATTCAATCGGCATTCACACCTCGGTCAAATGACTCCACAGTCGACAGGTTTTAAATCGGCAGTGATGGAAACATGACACCTGGATGAACGCACTGATCTGGCAGGTGAGAGAGCAGCTTGGTTGTCGGTGAACTTGTGAAGTTGAACATGATGCATCTACTGGCAATTGAAAAGGAGACAATCACCTTTTTTTAAGCAGGTTTACCCGCATTTAGAAAAAACCTGCGTATACCTGCTAATTTTGGTGTGAAAGAGGAATATGAGTGTGTGAAATTTAGTGGAGCACATTGAATTTATAAGGACTGTTGGGCCTTGTCAGAGGTATGCACTCTGCTCAGTGCCGTTGTAGTGTTTGGCATTAAGTTGCTCATGCCCCATGCCTCAGGGGAATTTCACATCCTACCTGCTGTTGTTTTACAAGGATAGGTGCAACAGTCTGATGTGAACTCAGAGTGAGTGAACGTGGGTGTTACCACCTTGTTGCAGCTGTTGGTGTTGATTAAAGAGATTACACTGCAACACGCTTGTTAACCACAGCCCAGAGTAACTGAGGAATGCTACCTAGCATGAATTCAGGATTACGGGTGTGAGAAATTAAACTATACTGTTCTTTCCATTGATCCCAAGATGTTTACCTGTTACCTCTTTAAAAATGTATTTCTGGGGTTGAAGTGATGGTGATTGGGGTTAATGTTTACAACTTTGCAAAGAGGAGGAAGGTCAGAGGTTGTGGTCAAGGAATAAAAATAAATCTTGGATCTCACCTTTGGGGTCATCTCTGACCACCAGTAGTCCGTTTCGACACACCACCTTCCCCGTAGCTGCATCCACAAACACCAGCGATGGGATACTGGTTACCTTGTACTTGTTCCAAAGCTTCATCTGTAGAGAGAAGGATGAGAAGAACGGTTGGAGAAAAACCTGAATGGATAGACCCCAAACAACACCTCCATGTGTATTTCAATCTCACAGCAGGAAAACTGTTAAACGTGGTATGTTCACCTGGAAAACAACACTTTCAACAAAACAAATATCAGCAGAGGGCTATTTGTATTTTTTAGGTCAAAACCCTTCTCTGTTGTTAAAGAGACTCAAAGGTAGAATAAAAAAATAGACAAGTGCAGTCAAGCCTGAGGTGAATTTGCAGAAGGTGTGGAGCACACTGCTGCAGGCTGATCTAGTCTGAATTGGAGCAAACCAATGCCTTCTTTGCTGCGTCATGAATAAAAGCTGAAAAAAAGACAACCACTCCTGCTCTGAATCCTGAATGAATTACTGGAGCTTTTTGGATCTACACTTCGTGCTTTCACAGGTATTTACGAGCGCCCGTTGGCTTTAAATTTAAACCTAATACCTCCTATATGATGAGTTTATATTAATGCAGCCTCATAAAGTCAGAAAATACTCTAGACGGCCAGAAAATCTGTGCATGAACCGGGGTTATTTATAGAGTTCAGCGTGCACAGAGTGTAGCCCTAACATCAAAGAGCAGATCAAGCATTTAAAGCCTTTCCTATCTGAGACTCACTTTCCATATCAGAGAGGATGACTCCTACACTGTGAATAGAGAAACAGTCGTGTCTTGTAAAGAGAAGCAATCAGCGATGTGCAGTGTTGCTGCTTCAGCAATTACAGCAGAAGAAGAGGAGGAAGAAGAAGAAGAAGAAGAAGAAAAGGATCCCTCACATTAATTCCTGAAAGCAGCTCTGAAAATTCAGTCGTGAGGAAAGAGAGAAACATACACTGGCTCTAAAAAGCAGAATTATCAACCCCCATTAAAAAATAGTCTGAATAAGACCCTGCAATGTAAAGAGCATTTTCTGATTTCCTCAACCTGAATAAGTAATTCCTGGAATAAGTCTCATTCAGAATAAAGTCAACAGTTGGAAAATTGTCGATGTAAAACTGTGTCTTCTTTTATTGAAGCGATAACTTTCAGGTTCAAAATGCCATAAATAACTTTGCAGGGAATTATTGCAAAAAACCTTAGTAGTTAAGAAGGAATGGTGAATTCATCTTTTATAAATAAACCCATATTTTACCCTGCCATTACATTTATTTCCTGCTATACAAAGCCAGGCACTTCAGTACCTGTGTAATATAATGATTTGTTCTGTCTGGGTGCTGGGGTAGTTATTCTAAGAGGTTTTTAGCCAAATAACGTGTGCAGCGTTTTCCTCGGGGCTCAGTGAAGTCAGTCTGGAGTTGGGTTACCACTGAGCTCCAGGTTGATGAAAACCTTTTGTTGCCCTTTTTATGAAAAGCATGACTTCACTGCAGGAGCACCGAGGCTCCTGCAAGCTGTCATCTCCCTTTTTCAATTTGCACATCACAATGTGTGTTTCACTCAAAATGTGGTGTCTGCCGTTTTACGAGTGTATGGCAACGTGCATAACTTGCACAGAGGGCAACCACAGGACCTTTCTGGCAGCAGAGGTCAGACGGCCTGTCCCATGGAGAAGACGACCAGGAGCCCCCAGACTGTGTTGGTTTTACCACATGCTCTGTGCTGCACTGGAAACTCAATCTCAGCTCACAAACTGACAGGGTTAGAGGCATTAACTGTGATTCTCTAAAAGCGAAATGGGCCCGACACTGCCTCTGTATAACTCGGCGGGTGTTTCGCTTGGCTGCCGGCTGTCACCCACACTGATGAGATGGGAATGAGTGTCAGATTTTGATTTTAGAGTGTGAGAGGGATGCAAAAGAAAAAAACCCCAGTGTGATTGGTTCAACACTAGCACCAGATATATTCCATCTATCAAGAGCCCAAAGGGGTTATGTAGCAGCATATCAATAAGCTAACAGAATTATGAAAGCATACAGGTGTTCAAAGTGTAAAATGGCCTCAATAACCTGCAAAGTAAAACTTCATTGGGATTGTATGCAGTAGAGATTGTTAAGGAAATAAAGTTGTGATTTGTTACCTTCAGCTATATAAATCAAATCAGCTTGACTTGCAAATAAAAAATGTGTAGGATTCATCCTCTGGGAATCATGAACATCCACACAACATTTCATGGCCATCCTTCTAATAGTCTTTGAGGTATTTTCAGTTGGTACCAAACTGACCCGACACTGACGTCCTCAGAGCCAAACCCAATTACCATGATGACACTACAGGTTAATGTACATCTCCTGAAGCACTGCAAACAGAATAAGATGGCTGTGTACCGATCAGCTTTCCTCAGTCCTATCGTTTCTCTCATGCTGCAGTGTCAAGAGAGCAGCTGGGAGAGGGAGAACCGATTCCTCCTCTTTGCGTTGCCACTCATTTTCTGCATCCTTGAATCAAGTCTGCATGGTGATTTGGCTGCAGATCAGAGTAGCCTTGGGATACTAAATCCTCCGAGGCCTCAGGCCTTTATTATAAAAGGGCTGTTATGATTCCAGGGCGGGCAAATGACCTTGTAAATACAAAAAGCTGCACGTTCCGGTTCACTGTTGCAAACATTTCAGCACCTTGAAAGACAAAACTGGGTGGGGGTAGAAGCTGGGGGAACCTCACACCTGTTATCTACCTGTAGATCTAAAAAAATTGTATTCTAAAACAATAAAGACAATAGATCTCCTAACCACAACAGCTCACACCAAACAGGAGGATCACATGCTACAGCGATCGATTTACTGCAAAACACTTTTACACTGTTGAGAAGAGCAGGCTGAGACAATAAATACAGAATGTGACATGATAAGTTGCACTGAATAACAGACATAAATCATACTGTCAGGTCTGCCCTCATTCCTTGACTGAGAAACAGTATCAGCCTGGAAGGAGTGGTGTTAAAGATATTTTCATCTTCCTTTCAGGTTTTGTAAATGTACTTATAAGACTACAGTGTTTCTTATGTGGAGCTATATAATCCAACAGTTTGACAATTTAGGAAAAGCAAGATTTACTCTATCTCAGAGTTGTATGAGAGGATGGATGACTTTCATGACTGTGTGATAAATGTCACTACGGAGGAGAACTAGTCAGCTGGATGGATGACATGTCTCCACTTCCTCACATTGCACAAAACTACCCTGGATATGAGTGCTGCCATCTGGAGCCAGAGTGTGATCACTGGGTGGAGCCGCTGTGTCAAGAATCCATCGATAAACGATAAACACTTAAACATACATCAGTGTCATAAAGTAATCTTGGAGTCTTGTAATGTGGGCATTGAAGAAGGACCTGGCTAATCTTTAAATTCAGAGCTTTGGGCAGTGGCCAAAAGAACGAGATCGCAACTACATGCAGCTGAAATTAATTTTCTCCGTCGAGTGGTTGGGCGGAAGAGTTCAGACATCTGGACAGAGCTTGGATTGGAACTGCTGCTCCGCTACTTTGAAAGGACAGTTGAGGTGGTTCTCATCAGGAGTCCAACAGGGCACATTTTGTTGGAGGTTTACCAGGCATTCCAAACTGGTAGGAGACCCTGTGGTATAGACCCAGAACCCACTGGAGGGACTACATACCCCAGCTGGCCTCAAAATGCCTTGGGATCCCCCAGGAATAGCTGGAAACCATGGTTGGCTACCTCCGCGACCCAAGCCCGTATTATGGGAAGACAATGGATGGATGGATTGAAGACAAAACCTTGGACTCAGTTACAGTTTACACATTTTCTGCATTTTCTAGTCAAAGGGTTTGCTGCTGAAATCCAGTCCAACAGAAGAGTCTAGCACTAGCTAATTATCATGTAAACTGCCTGAAGATTGCATTTGTTGCATCATGATTGCATGTTGCCACTTGTTCTCTAAGGGGCTTCAATTTATTATCAATATCAACAGAGTGTGTAACTACATGGAGGAGCAGGAGGCAAGACTATATAGTTATACAGTGGTTTAAGTATGCCAATAACCTCTGTGGAAAGCCCACTAAGACTCTAGGGAGAACTGGAAATCCATACTAACAATCCATTTATTCACCTGGACATGCAGGCATTAGCCTCACACTACGCCTGGTGCTCATCATGCTAATTGGATCACGCATGGCTATGGATCCATGTCCAGAAGGAGAACAAGTCCGCCTGCTGTGGGGCCTTTACATCATTGAGCATGGACATACCAAGGTTAAAAATCTCATATCCCCACTGGTCAAAGAACATGTTGATTTTTTAACTTGTATATACATTAGTTTGATGGGATCAATGACTGGATTCGTTAACTACTTGTAACCATTCCAGACAATGAGAGAGCAAGAAAAAAAAACAAGAGGGGAACAAACCCAATCCCCAGATATCCACATTTCCATTTTGATGTCATGCATGGCGATCGCCTTCATGCTTCTTTGCACTGATGCACTTTATGGCAACAGGGGTCCTTTAAAGGTGGGTGAGCTTATACTGTTGGTGGAGATCTCCCAAGTTCCTGTGGTGTAAAATTTTACAATCCACACATATGTTCTTCAGTTTTGGTTTCGTCTCTTTTGAAATGTCGAAAGCCTGCAGTGAAATGTGGCTTCTGTCAGTAACTGATGGGGCTCTACAGTGGCTTCTCTGTGGTGAGTGTCACCCTGTTGAGTGAACTAGACTGGAAGAAATTTCATCAGTCAACGTGGCCAATTCACCTGTGATTGTTCGAGCCATATCTCCTCACAAATCTGCTTTCACTGAGCCAGTCAGGCCTGAGGCGTCTGCCAGATGCTTCCATCGCAGCCTCATTACAACTGTGCCACTACAAAAGAAAAGTCAGCTCTTCACAAAAGAGGACATGAGAGGAACCCTGCTGTGATGCTGATAGCAGCTCAGGCCTTTATCTTCACATGAAGGACAAACGGTGATAACCTAATTGATATCTTCAAGAAAAGGGGTTAAATTTTCATGTTTTTCAATCCATTTAATCCAGATAAGATGTCACAATTCATACGATGTGTCGTATTCATCATCAGACAAGAG